CCCCCCCCCCCCCCCCCCCCCCCGACCCTTCAGCCAAAATACGCCACTGGTTTGAACGGAACTGCTTCATATCTTTATGTCAACATTGTCACATTTCTATCCATTTGACGGCCAGCGTAGCGACCTGCGGCCGCTAGTACAATTGATTATGGTACCATATTAAAGTAATTGCATGCTTCCAACCAGACACTTGATTTTACATCAGGTCAAACGCAATTAACTCAAGTTACTTATTGGTTTCGCCACCCAAAAAAGGAGAGGTACATATGTGAAACGTGAGACTGCATGATGACAACACTGGCAAGATGGTTGCTATTGGGTGACATGCCCCGAATCCGTTTAAGCTAAACTAATCTGATCTCAATATGGTTCCCTGTGGGAGTCAGTTTAATCGAGGTAAACTTATTCCCATAGACGCCCATTATGAAAACGAATCAGTTAAACGGATCTGGTGCATGTCACCCATTGTGGTCAGAGTGGAACATGATGCTGGTATTATGAAAGTGACTGTCTAAAGTAGAATGGCTTTCGCACTTACAACTTCAAGATCGAAAATATTTATTTTACAGCTACAGCTAGGCACTCCAGGCCATCGTGAGATTAAGCACAGTCAAGCCAAACTAACCCATTTCAACCACCTTCTTCTCTTGGTGACCTCGCCTAGCTAAGCCGCGAGATGTCTCTCGCAAGTATGTGAAGAAAACTAATGGATAAATTGTACGTTACACCATAGAATGCCTTGCTACAGCTCTCGAACTAATTCAAAGAGGACTACAGCATTTATGTGGACCAAAAGCCCCTTTTCTTTTCAGATTTATCAAATTAATGAGGTGCAATACTCTGGAATCCAGGTGTGATCCTTGCATCTTCAGAGTTAGTGAAGATGAAAGAGAGTACTCCACTATTTTTTTTCCCAATAGGTATCACATTTCCTCTCCCTATTATCACAATTACCCCTATTTTCGTGGTAATTATGATACGAGCAACTATATCAGTTGAATAGCCGTATCTCTTAATAAGTTTGAGATTACCCTAGTGGTTGAGGATCCATGTGGCTCTTAGATCGGCACATATTTTCACCAAATATGACTGATGAATCAAAATTAGAAGCCGTACTGGGCATGATTGAAGTTAAAACTGCAGAAACGCTATCACATCGTATCGTAACCTTACGACGACGAAAAGCAAGAAATACACCCGGAGAAGTGTTTGCGGACATGCAGTTTGAAAGAAAGGATAAGAAAGAGGAGAAAGGAAAGGCTATTTCCTTCTGATTTCTTTTACTTTTACCCTGCCTGGACGTAAATAACCTGAGAGGAACACACGCCCCTGTTCTTATGATATGGGGTGGCTTTTCCCAAACAGTCCAGGGGTAGCAACCAAGTTGGATCGGCATGTAAGAATATCCTTCCCCCTCACACACACACACGCACACAAACACACATCAATCGACGAGAATGAAAAATTGTTTCGCTACGGACTTCCTGCAGAGAATACTGCTGAATTGATAAGTGAGAAAATGGAGTGGTCCGAGAACAGATCCCTCATGCATCCATGTACGTGTATGCATCAATACCAGTGGATGATGTTTTCTCCATCGGCAACAGAACCTCGATGTCTAATGTGAAACCATCACTTTCGCCCGTGAAGCAGTTAAATTTAGCTGTACTCTCATCGCAAAGAATTTGTAAGTTAAGTGAACTCCTATCAATGGTGTGCCATTCACTGTGGTTTACATCTATTCTCAATGGAGCTAGGCTCTCCCGTTCGTTTTTTCGTCCTATTCGAAATCCACTTTCATGATCTCATGCCGATGTTTAAGGAGAGAAGCTAGCAATAAAAAGAACAGGAGAAGGGTGGGAGGAGAGAGATGGGACGGAGAACACTGCTGAAAACGGTATCTTCTCCTTCATAAGATTAGCATTTCATAGCAAGTCATCATGCATTTCGCTCCCATTGGCTGTAGTGTAATTGAGAAAAGTTTCCTTCCCGTCGAGTTCAGTTGATGCTGTGGGCAATTTTAATTTCAATCCATTTGAATTATGTTAATGAGTGTCACGTTAATTAAAGAATTGTCTTTTTTCGCAAAATCATTCCATGATTTATTTGCTGATAGGGATTGGAAATCACTCCAGCAGCATGAAGGGACCCTCACATTAATCATGTGCGATGAAGGGAGATGAGATTGTTTGGTGCAGCTGACCTCTTGTCTGACTTTCCTAGGGAGAATCTCACCATCCACCGTCCACCGCCATCCGTCTGTCGTTCGTCAGAAAAGAGAGTTTTGATGCATGGACTCCGTTCTCTTACTGAAGTCGGCATTTACTCGTCATTTTCAGACTAGAAGCGACTCGATCGAATGAAGAGCAGGAACTCATCTGCGTATGCACTCTCGAGCCAAGATCGGATCGTTTGAAATCAATAGAGGCTCCCTCTAGGTCAGTGATTCTCAAACTCCCTTTTACTCCCATAGAAGATCCATATGTTCGTGTTCCGCGGACCACAGATTGAGAACCACTGCTTTAGGTCGTAGAATGAATCACAAATCTCAAAGAAACCGGGTAGGCTAACTCGGAAAATAGCGTGAAGAAACTACGTTCTGACCTTAGTCACTGGGAGGGTGTCACGAAGTGCGGAGTGCCATGAGGTGGGGAGGTGCCATGAGTTAGGAGGATGCCAGTGCGTGATAGCATGCGAGTGGGAACCTCATCGCATTTGCACTTTCATCAAATAAAATAAAAGGCTGTAGGTGTATAGCTATTTATCGATTTTTTCTTCGATCGCATTCCGAGTAGTCGTTCAGAAACCCATATGGTAAAACGCATATGATTTCATCACGATGGGCAATAATTCAGAGTATCCACTTGCTTTGCAAAACCTGCAAGATATCGTTGCAAAATGATGACCGAAGCTGGCTCCACGTTCCCAGATTGTTTTGGATTCATCTGTAGACTGAGTTTTGCCGCACCATTCTCCCGATTGCTTCCTCCCGTGTTTCGTTGAGACCAACATGCTGAACGGTGACAGGTCTTGAAAGATACCTTTAAAAAACAGTCGCGCGAGGACTCAGATGGCAGTGCTGCTTGGAGGTAGACTATTTGGATCCACGAGGTAGGGCTTCACCCTCCGATTTCTCAAGTTGATCACCTTGGTCTCGTTGGCAGGGTGTAAGAGTCGATCGGTGGCCAACCACTGGATCTGCCTCTCTAGTCGGATCCGCCTCTTCCGATCCACGTAGCTGATGATGTAACAGGACGGGATCCAGACGACCGTTGCGACGAGGATCACGGCTCCGACGATGTTGTCACGGAGGAAGCGCAGCACGGAGTTGATGTCAATGTACTCGATGACGTCCCAGAAGCGTTCCACGATGTCCTGCATGGTCTTCTCACAGATGCCGTCCTTGCAGTAGCCGACCATGCAGGGCGTGCCGTCGTGTAACACGTCTGCGGGGTCGACGGGGAAGCAGGTGTCGTTCAGGTGCGTCCTGCAGCATCGCCTGCAAGCGTTCTCCAGGATGTCGCACATGCAGCTCTGCAACGGTGGCCGCTGGCTCTCACAGAACGGTTCGCATTTCCCTTCCAGACATTTCCCCTTCTCGATGCATGGGGTGTGGTCGGGCAAGGGGAGCGACGGAGGACATTCTGCCGATTCCCCGCTGCATTTTGCCTCCTGTTCGCAGGTGGCCAGCTGTTCTTCGCGGCACTTCACGCCTTTCGGCATATAGCGACAGTTCTTGCAACAGGGGGAGTTTTTGTCGCTACACACGGCTCCTTCCTTCCGTCGCAGCTTGCACTTGCTGTCGCAGCAGGCGTCTACGTCCTCCGTCCCGACGAGTCCGGCGTCGCATTCTTCGCCTTTTTCCACCCTTAGGTTCCCGCAGAAACTCTCTTCTGGTTCCGTGAAGCACTTCTCGCTCTTTGCCAACAGGACCGCCCTGATGGACCGGAGGCTGCACGGCGAGAACTTTTTATTGTTGTAATCGTAGCCGGAGACGGAGTAGGTGTACATGAGATAGGAGCCTCCTTCGGATGCCTTGGGTGAGCATTCCGGGAGGTCCGGATCGTGCTCGGATCCCCAGTTGTGACCGAACTCGTGAGCCGTGACCAGGTCCGCTTCGCGCGTGATCACCCGCTGACCATAGTGGTTCCGCGAGCTGCTCAGTCCAGAATTCAGATATAAAGTGTATCCGTTCTTAAAATACTCGGGAGTGCAGATCCCTCCGACCGAGTTCCGTCGGGGGCTTCCCACGTAAGCCAGACCCAGGATTCCTCCGTCGAATTTGATGTCGGTGAAAAGGTGAGCCAGGCAAAAGTTCTTATGGGTGTACTGCCGACTGAAGACTTCAAGGAGACTCCGAACGTCCCAGGAACCTCGGTGCATGTTATAGTGAAGTTCACCCGGATTGACGGGCGTGGGCTCGGAATGCACGAGGATCTTCTTGATCACGAAACCCATGCCCTTGAAGCCTTTCTGGTTGGGGGAATCCACCCATTCCGTTTTAGCATAGATCTTGTGGACTCGATCGATGAGGCTTATGAGATAGTTAATGGTGGTCTTGGTGTCCCCAGCACCCATCTCTCGGAAGAAGCGGTAATCGGCAACCAATAGCAAGGGACAACGGGTTTTCCTCAACTGAAAAGAGTAGCCTTCTTCCTCTCCCTCCCTTTTCACTCGTTCTAATTCCTCTTCCTCTTCGTCCTCACTCGTCACATTTTCCTTGACGTGAGCGCAATAGGCCTTGGATGGAGCATCGGGCTGCTCCCAGCTGTACTTCACGTCCGACTCCTTGTAAATCAGCATAGAATCGTCGCGGGGGGTGTTAGGCAGGTGCCTCCATGTGGGTTCCACGTGGTACATTTCCCCCGAGGTCTCGATGGATGCGGTCAGGAGACCATGGCCGATGTGAGCTGAGACATGGGACGACGTTTCCCCGAACACACGCCCCTCGTAGAATTCCTCGTGATCCACCGGGACAGAAGATTCTTTTCCGTTCGCCTTCACCGTGACCGCTTGGAAGTACGGGTCCAGGATTCCCCGACGCGGGGAGAGTACGAGCCGAAACCGTCTTCCCATCGCGTCGAAGGACACTTCTTTAATCTTGTTGAAGGGATGAGAACCGCGTTCGTCGGTCCCCCGTTTCACGATCTCGTGAGACAGGTCCTCCTTTCGCAGGACCTCGAAATACTTCAAGTTCGGGTGCCGATCCTTCCCGACGACACAGCACAAAAACACCAAGCAATAGAAGGCCGAGATCCGCATTTTGGCTACACGTGCGGGTTTAGAGAAGGGGAGAGCGGAGGAGGGTGGGAACCATGTCGGAGGGGAGATGAAGGAGGCGATCGATGGGAGGAACAGGGGCGACATCGGGAAATCCTGCCAGGAACTACTCGCCCCCCTTTTCCCCCGTGGAGCCATGGAGGGCGAGGGGAAGACAGAGACAAAGAGACTGCATTACCGCTTCTCTCCACCACCATTCATTTTCTCCTTCCCGGATATCTATTCTTGAAAGATGATTTCTGTCCCTCTGGGAATGCGTTGCAGAGGAATATTTCATTGCTGCTGCATTCCAAAAATCGTTTTGTTTGAGGATGGTGGATGGATGGCAGCTGAGTTAATTCGGAGGATGAACCCTTGCAAAAGTTGAAGCATAAATGATAGAGTCTGCTTGCGTTTGTGCCATCTATTATGCATATGCCTATCGGCAAGGAGGAGAAGAAGCGAAATGTTTTCCTCTGAGAGGCCTTCTTTCATCTTTACTTACTAAAGGGGGTTGCTAAACTTCTAGCGATTAGACAAGAGAACCCCTCGAAAGCGTTGAATTTCTCATCTCTCATGGAAGAGAGCAGTAAATGAGCCTGGCATCATGAACTTCCTATGAGGAACTTCGTGTCTCATTTCCAGTTCACGACTAGCAATTAGAAAGGGGGAGTTTGGGAATGGATAAGGTTGCAATCGCATCTCAACAAGAACATCCATCTAGAAGGAAATTATGGCATTGCTTCCTCGTGGGCTTGAAAAGATCTTCCACAAATGGCATCTAATCATCCTTTTATTTTTGCTTTCTTTGATCATAATCTAACATTCGCATTTCTATGCACCACGGTGAAAGAGAACTTGGAGCAAGTGAGATGCTTGATATCAGCCGGGTTGGCCCCTTGCGAGTAAAAGCCACTCTCGTAACGATCGTCCCGTGTGAGAAGTTATCGTCGTAAGAAGGTCGTTGAGTTCATCCACTCGTCCAGGTTTTCAGCTCTCCATGGAACTGCCGAAAATGCTGCGACCGTGTCTCTTTTCCTATGCTCCTCCGATATAGGAATTTCCGATTTGGAGAAAAAAAGACGAGCAGCAACCAACCTGGACTTACACGGCCTTCTATGGTGAAAGAAGTATGATCGGACTTCCTCCTCCATCAGTGCTTTTCTCTCAATTCTCTCGTTTTCACTCGTTTCTGAAGCTGAATGCAGTATGAGTTTCTTTTCCTTAATCTAGTACGAGGGTGCACAACATTCGGCCAGAGAGGCCCGTGCCCGTGCCCGTGGCCCGTCATGACTAGTGGCGTTGTAAGTGCTACTATGGCTCCTGTTCTGTTGGCCACAGTTATGGTCATCCAGACTGCAGCCCGCAGTAGGTGAGTAAAAATCGCAAATGGCCCTCACAGCCTTTTTGAGTTGTGCATCCCTGGTCTGGTAAGTACAATGAGGGCACTTGAGATTCTTCCTCGGACTTGGCGTTTCTCTCTGGTTCCACCGTCTCGCTTTTTCTCCTAGCGGCGTCCCCTTAGGATAATAGGCGTCCCTCTCTTCATTTGTCATCAAACATTTTTCTCTCTTGCAGCGAGAGAGCCGCTCACGAGATTCCATGAGTCCTGGATGATGAGGGTCCCCATCCCGTTCAATCAGTCGTTGAGAGTCTGTGAAACCTCTGGAAAAATATGAGACGAATCTTGAATACCCATTCACCTTTATCGCATTCACATCGGCAGAATATTCACATTTTATATATCATACAGGGTGACTCAAAAGTCCTTGGACACCTTTAATCAAGTGTAGCATTCTCTGATGAAGACCAATTTAATTTCTGATTTGACCAGTGCAAAGATAACAAAAAACTAAACCAACCATGTTTTTATGTTTCA